TGGACAAAGAGACCTCTGCCAAGGCTGGGGGAAGAAAATCGAATCCCATTCATTCATACTTTCATGTTTGCTGAGTATCCCCTATGTTCCAGGCACTGCCTTGAGGACACAGTAGTGACTAACATTCCAGTGCAGGGAGCCAGGAGTAGGCAGATAGCACTTTCTAGGGAGGGAAGGAGGTGCTATGGAGAAAGTGAAGCAGAAAACTGAACGAGTGGTGGGAGCCCAGCGTGGGCTCCAGGCAGAGGGATCAGCAAGCAAGAGCAAAGGCCCTGGGGTGGGAGCGTGCATGGCAAGCCAGGCCCGCAGGAAGGCAGAGGAGTGGACCATGGCAGTGGACCAGGGAGAGAGTCAGGTGCCGAGGTCGGGGCAGGGGTTAGATCGTAGGACCTTGCAGATGACTTCACATGGCTTTGTGCTGTGCCCAGGTCAGCTGGAGAACCTTTGGAGGATCTTGACTTGTTTTTTTACTTCTGTGTTAAAGAATCACTCTGGCTGCTGAGTGGTGAACAGACTTGGGGGCTGGGGCAAACGTGGATGCAGGAAAACCAGTTTGGAGGCTGATGGTGGTCTAGGGGCTGGATTCTAGGTACACTTTCAAAGACAAGCTGATGGGATTTCCTGATGTCTTGGATGTGAGTGTTAGAGGAAAAAGAAGTTTGATGAAGTTGACTTTATATGGAAACCATTTTCGAAGTGCTCGTGTGCATATTATTAGGGTCTTTGATGACCCCTGGGAGGTGGGTGGGACTTCTCTTTACAGATGGAGAGTCTGAGGGCCAGAGAGAGAAGGGGCTTGTCCCATGTCACAGGTGTTGTTTCTTAGACCCAGGCCATTGGCTGCTCCTGAGGCATTTAATCTCGTTTCGTGCTTTATGTTCTGAGAGAGCCTGAGCAGGAGGGCTGTGCAGGCCGGGAGAGGGTGAGCTGGGCTCCAAGAGGGGGTCTGCACAGAGGCCAGTGTGAAAGGAGTTGGGGCACCACAGGCGGGGCCTGGGGTTATGGTCGGAGGCTGTCTCTGCACCCTCCACCCTGCAGAGCAAACGTCCTTCACCCTCGGTAGAAAGACTGGGAAGGTGGCACCCTTGGCTCTGCTGGCTCCCCTCTGGCACTAGACTGCAGAGTCGATTCTACTTATTACCACCCCGAGCTTCCACTCCAGCACCTTCCATGGTGGTCACAGCATGATTTGTTGGTGACACAGAGGTCCCACTGGCCTCAGAACAGTTGGGGAAACCCAGACCCTTTGCAGTAATTCAGGGAGGAAATGGGATAAATGGGAGGGTGACCCTGTGCTGCCAAAAGGCTCAAGACATCTTGTCACCCGGTTCCTCAGTGGGGTCCCAGCTGGAACAGAATCTAGCCCTTGCGGTTCAAGAGACTTCAATGCTGGGACTGTTATTACAGAGTTTGGGCAGGTTAAGGAAACCCAGAGACCAGCCGCAATGGGGGCTGTTGTTACCACCGGACCTAAAAAGGAGGAGGAAAGGTATTCCTGGAGGCCCGAGGGCTGGAGCATGAAGGAAGGACTGCCCCGAGAGAGCAGCGGTCATGGGGCCACGGCCAGGGCCAGAGCAGGGCCAACAGGGCAGAACTTCCCCGGCTCTCCTCCCCGAGGAAGGTCTCGCATTGGCCAACCCCGCCAGAATCCAGAAGGCGAGGGAACCCCTGGTGCTGCCGTCCTCAGGATCAGCCTTGGGGTACACAGGGCAGGGCCAAGAACAGAAGAAGGGAGAGGCAGAGGGAGAATAACAAACACACCAGAGATGCCTCAAACCTGGGGGAAATGTGTGCTTAAACACTGCATTGATCGTTCATTACTGCTTTCCCTGAACCTGTGCTTAAGTTACCACTGGAGAAAATCAAGTTCTCGGGAAAGAATATTCTGGTAGGAATAGTGATTAGGTACTAAAATCCAGAGACTGAAATCTTGACTCCTGGGGACTTTCCAAAACAGACTTAAAAAATCACTGGCTTCAGATGTCAGAGAGCTTTCAGAAGGCAGAGGAATAGACCTAAGCCCCAGGAAGTCATTTCTAGCTCTAGTGTTAACGTATGTGATCCAGTATTTTCCAAAGTGACCTATATAATTTTGATATAATGGAAACATAAGTCATTTTCCAGGCAGAGTCTATACTAGCAGATAGGCTACTACTATGTAACCCTTTTCAGGGCAGACACATCTGGATAATTGGGATGGTGTAGATGGGTCTTAAAGTCCTCATAAATTCTAGATAATTAGGATGCTTTGGAACCAAAAGGAATTTGTTGTAAACTGGGACTAAATATGTTGCCTTCTTAGTGTGAAAATTTTTTTTAATTAAGACTTTTATTCCTCTTTTTCCTCAGCTAAAATCTAGGTTTCCACAGGCGACCAGCTGGCCTTTTGATTTGAGCAGAATTTGCTACTGCTTATAAAGTCAAAGATCAATGCTTATCAAAAATCGTCAGCCTGGAAATCTCTTTAATTTCCTGAGCTGTGTAGGCGGCTTTTCTGATAACATGCACTCATTCTGATGCTACATTTTGGAGGCGGTCTGCATCTGAAAAACACCCTACAATCTGCTTTCCCTCCCAACACCCAGGCACATTGGTCGGCAATTCCCATCAGTCCTTTCTAGCTGCTCCATGGGGCCAAGGCTGGGTCACAAAGCTCTGAATTCACTCCATCTATCCAGAGAGAGGGAGATGGGAGCGCAGACCTGCAGGAGGGCCTCCACACTTCACTGAGATGCACCCTCTTTAGGTCCCTGTCTCCTTCGCCTTCTCTCTGTGGCTGCTTCATGGTGTTTCTGTCCTTTTTTGCCCTTTTTTTCCCCTTTCTCCTCTGGTAGGGATTTTTGGGAAAGGATCTTAAATTGTAAGGGTTTGCACTCCCACTCCTTTAAATCATCTCTACATCACTTATAATACCTAATACAATGTAAATGCTATGTAAACAGTTATAAATACAATGTAAATGCTATGTAAATAGTTGCCAGTGCACATCAAATGCAAGTTATGCTTTTTGGAACTTTCTGGAATCTTTTAAAAAATATATTTTCTAGGGGACTTCCCCCAGTGGTTGGGACTCCCCTCTTCCGCTGCAGGGGGCAAGGGTTCAATCCCCGGTTAGGGAATTAGGATCCTGCATGCTGTGCAGTGTGGCCAAAAATTTTTAGATAAAATAAAATAAAAAAAATCTGCTACCCCTGCAGATGTGGAAGGCGGACTGTAATTCTTCTGAAAGAAAGAAGGCAACCTTCACTGACAGTGCATACATTCCTCCAGCTGATAGGGGCACTGCATTCGATTACTGTCAGTACCCTAGAAATTTAAAAGGAAAAATTTGTGTTTCTAGATATAATTAAACAGTTGTGATTTCCACTTTATTATCTTTCTTTTCTTTTATCATGCCATTTCTTTTAGTTCAATATAGCAAGAAGAAAGATGAAAAAGGAACTCAAAGCCTATGTAAAAGCTTGTGCTGATGAATTAAACCAAAGCACCTCATTCATTCGTTCATCCAATCATTCATTCAATGATATTAACAAGGAATACTTTTTGAGTATTTACTCTGTGGCAGACTTTATGCTAAGAACTTTAGATGATTACCTCATTCAATCTATATAATTACTCTATGGGATAACTGCTAATATTATCACTATTTCATAAGTAAGAAATTTTCAAGAAGTATGCCAGGTCCTATGCTAAATGGGGAGGAACAGAAAAACTAACATATTTTCTTGGCATCAAGGATTTAGGACCATGGAGGCAGAGACAAATGCATAAACAAAAACATAAAATAAAACATTATAGGAGCCACCATGACCAGCTGTTAGGGTCCAGCTGGGCACAAAGGAGGGAATGGTCCCTTCTCCTTAGTGTTATTCAGCTGGCTGTAAGTCCTGAGGCTTTCCAATGGGTTGGGAAAAAATGGGCCTAGCACCAGCATCTCAGCACACTTGTTTTTCAGCCAAAGCTCTTGGCCACTCCCCCTTTTCCCAATCACCTCTGCTTGCAGGTTCTACTCCACCCTATTGACTGTGTTATCCCCCAGACCCTTGGGTATGCTCACCCCCAGCCCTAGAAAAGAAAAGCCCAATACTTTCTGTGATAACCATGTTGTGATGTAAAAAGTATACTCTGTTAACTGTAGGTACCCTAAGCCCTCTTAGGAAAGCCAGCCTGGGAAGATACCATGATCAACTTTTGAGGGCAGCGCAGGGAGGTTACAAGATGAAAAGTCAAAAGTAATGCTTAAAGCCGAGAGAGTAAGAGGAATTTTCTGTGCTCCTGAGAGGAAGAAGGAAAAAGAAATGAGGCAGAGAGAAGCCAGAGCTACCCAGAGGGTGGGTCCCTAGGGGTAAAAGTAGCAGAAACAGGTGGTCCATGCTGGTGGCCCAAGGAAACTTCTAAGAATGAGGACGCCTAGTGGCCAGTTGTAGTTGTAATCCCTTTCTTCCCATCCCCACCGCAAAAGACACACACACACACACCCCCACACCCACACCCACACCCACACCCACACACACACACACAGTAGAGAGGTCTACCACATTCAGCAATACCTTGACACCTTTTGGAGGAAAACAAAGGGCTGAATCTTGTGTGAGGGTGAATGCACTGTGGCATACAGACAGGGAGCTAAATGCAGGGGCAGATCCAAAGTTCATGGAATCTGAAGCTCATACAGTTTGGTGAGATGCCCTTAAAGAAAAATAATATAAAAATATCAACCTTTTGCAAATTTTACCAAAACATATGACCACGTGAACACTTTGCTAGGGCCTCCCACAAGGGAACGGCCCTGGAATTTAAGCTTCATTAGCTTTCTTATAAATCTTTCACTGGGAAGACGTGACCACAGGAGAGCCAGACCCCATTTGAAAATCCTCAGAAATTTTTGAGGGGGCTTCGGGCTCCATAGTCCACACAGTGGGGGAGTTTGAGTCAAGCTGATCTAGATCTCAGGGGTTGGCTGGGTATGACTGACAGCTGGGTTATAATCACTTTCCTAGTCTCCAGAACAAACTACAATCTCAGAGGAGGAGAGACCACAGTGAAGGAGGGACTAAAGGCAGCTGCATCGGAACCTGGAAGGGTAAGTCTGAGAGCTTGCGTTTCTGGAGGGGATGGGAGGCAGGATGACCACAGGCCTGCAGAGTGAGGTGAGCCGGCTCTTAAAAAGCTCTTCAAGTCTTATTAGAAAATTGCAATGGAGAGATCCCCTGCCCTCTCCTCCATCCCAGGGTACACAGTAAGGTCTGTCCTCCACTCTGATTACCCTCATTTTGGAGCTCAGAAAGAAGCTAATCAGAAGACACACATTGTACAAGCTACTTCAAGTGCAATTTAGAATTCAGCGTGACGAAGGGAGTCATCGGGTGTGTGATTATAAAGAAACATTCCAACATAATTAAGGCATGAAGGTGCAAGAGTGGGAGGGTGGACAGGGATGGTCAGGGCACAGCTTACCACCACTCTCGATAGTTCCCAGCTCTGCACACCAACCAATGAGGAGACACAGCTTCCCTGTGTTCCTGCATATCCAGTAGCATCGCTAATAATCCTCACAACCCTCTCAGTGGCGTGTATTAGTTTTCTCTTGCTGCTGTAACAAATTGCCATAAATTTAATGTCTTAAAATAATACATTTATTTTCTTATAGTTCCATAGGTCAGAAGTCTGAGATGAGTCTCACTGGGCTTAAATCAAGGATTGATGTCAGCGGAGCTGCATTCCTTGCTGGAGGCTCTGGGGAGAAATCATTCTCTTTTCCAGCTTCTAGAAGCTGTCTACACTCCTTGGTCATGGTCCCCTTCCATCTTCAAAGCCAGCAAGTCTTTCCGACATCTCATTACTGTGACATTGACTCTCCTGCCTCCCTCTTTCACATGTAAGGATCCTTGTGACTACATTGGCCTCACCCAGATAATCCAAAATAATCTCTTTATTTTAAAGTCCAGGTGATTAGCAACCTTACTTCTCTTTTCCCAAATAATGTAACATATTCACAGGTTCCAGGGATTAGGGAATTAGTATGTGGACATCTTTGGGGCCATTATTCTGCTTATCACAATAGGAAATATTATTATCTCCTATTTTCCAGGTGAGGAAAATGAGGCACAGAGAGGTCCTGTGGCTTGCTCAACATCACAGAGCCGGTGAGCAGTAAAGTTGGGATTCACCCAGGCCCATCTGATGCCAGACCCTGTATTCTTAACCTTTAAACTGTACTCCTTTCATATAATCATTGTTCTTTTGTTCAATACTTTATTGAATTTTGACACTTCCATTGATAGAAGCATTTGAGTAAGGCAAAGGCTCTGGGGGCAGGAACTGCTGGTGGTATGGACATGCAGGTGTGGGAGAGGCATACTGTATACCCCATAACAGTGGGGGACCATCTGCCTGTGTTAGGTCACAAGAGACCGGGGTTCACATCTCAGCTCTGTCACTTGTATCTATGTGCCTTCCAGCCAATTGCTGGATCTCCTGAGTTTCCTCTGCAAATGATAATAACAGAACAGAACCCACCTTACAGGCTTGTTATAGTAACTAGAACAGCATGTATGAAGCTCCCAGCTGTGCCTAGAGCACAGGTGGTGTTCCATGAATGCTGCTGTTACTACCTCTCTCTCCTTGGCCCCTCTCCCCAAGGAACCTTAACTTCTCGCAGGTAGGTATTAACAGAGGAAATGGTGGCTGAGATTTCTGGATTCTGAGGAAGCAGATCTGGGGAAGCTGAATCAGAACAGGTAGGAGGAGGACAAGGAGCCCTGCTTTTATCTGTCTTAGGTAGAGTCCACATTAGATCTAATTAGAGAAAAAGGGCTCTGTGGCTAAAACACATTTTAAAAACACTGATATCTCCCTCCCTCCCTTCCTTCCTTCTTTGTGTTTTCAGAAAAGTTTGGAAGAAGGAGAGGAGAAATAAAATGTCCATTAGATCTAGAGTTCTTGGTTGCAAGCAACGGAATCTGACTCTGACTAACTTAGATGAAAGTTGGAATTTAGTGGAAGGGCATGGGGTGACACCAAATTGAAGACAAAGTTGAACATCTGGGTCTCGGGAAGACAGGAGCATGTAGACAGCAGGAAGGAATAGATAGCCTCTTCAGGGCAGCAATGCCCTGAGTGGAGCCCTTCCCGCTGGCCCCCTGGGCTTGGCACTGGGTCCACTATCCATCTTCCTGGGAAGCAGAGTTACTGGACTAGCCTGGGACGCTTACTGGCCCCATGTCTCAGTAGGCAGGGAACCTTGACTGACTGTCCCACCAGAGCATCTCCAGAGGGCAAGATGGGGTTCCCCAAGAAGATACCAGCAAGCAAACAACTGTCACCTTTGACAAAGGTCACCTTTGCAAAGCAACCATCGGTCACCTTTGCTATGTTTGAAAATGTATCTTTCACCCCTGACCTGCCTCCAGGACTCTCTTTCATTTCCTCATTCTTTCTATTTAAACTGCAAAATGTCATTTTTGTAGCTACTGCCACCCTCCCCCCCACAAAAAGAAAAACAGGAAAAAGAAAAGCTTTGTACTTCTTGGAGTTGGGGAAAAATACTTTATGTTTTACCCTCAGTTGACTCAGGGTCAACTGAGTTTGGTTAATACGGGACCTTGAGCATAGTGGCCTTTTGCTGTGTCAGCATCAGTCGAAAAAGGACCACTATGTCACAAAAGACTCACCTGTTAAAACCTCATATTTTACAGTTGAGACACAGGTCGGAGATGCTCAGTGACCTGCTCAAGGTCACAAGGCAGTTTAGAGGCAGGATCTCTGCTGGTTCCTTCCATTAAACACCCTAGGCCTTTGGGGTGGCAGTGCCTCATCAAGAGGGAGCTTCCTCTTATCTGTCAGGCACAATGTTGCCTCATCATGGATGAGGATGTGAGTGGTGCCTCCTGGCATTTGCGGTACGATATGACGCTGAAACCCAGCACCCAGGGATGGGCTCCTGGGCGATAGAGCACCGCTGGCTGTGTTTGAGGTGTCCAGAGTCAGATGCAGCTTCCTTGTCAGTCCGTGCCCCTGAGGGCTTAAAAAAGGAAAGAAAGAAAAAGAAAAGAGAAATGCTTCCAATCTCTGATTTTACAGAACAAGGCAAATTTCTCATTTTGACAGAATCAAAACCCAAATCCGCCTTACCAAGAGACCAGAGGAAAAAACAAAGTTCAATAGATTTTTTTTCTTAAACTGTTGGATCCCATTTGAAAGGAAATGGGTTTCTTTCTTTAAAAGAGAGAGACAAGAGAAATGAGAGCCTCTCCAGGATGGAGAATTCAGAAGTATGGTGTCCCTACGTGCCCGGAAACCAAGGGAGGGTCAGCAGTTTCAGGGTGTGGTTGACAGGTGATTTGACCAGGGGGTGTAGAACTGGAAGAGGGTAAGGTTTCTAGAAGAACTGGGGCGTCTCTTACTGTCCAGTGACTTCCAAATGGCATCCTTCAGTTTCAAGGAGGGCAGGGCAGGGTGAGCTACTCAAATCAAATTTGGCACTACAGTGAGCCTCCAAGCCCCACCTCCAAATGCTGGGCCTAATTGTCTTGCTCTAAAGTAGATGGAATCTAAACCCAAACACCCCATTCTACCTTTATTGCATTTCTAGGCTGTCATTGCCCCCAGACTTTTCTTCCTGATGGGCCACTTGAGTGAAAAACAAAACAAAATAACCCAAGACCTTGCAGCAAAATGAAGCAAAACCTATCCTGTATTTCACCAGGAATAAAGTATTCTGTTGTTGATTTTTTAATGCAGACACTTTGCCTTAGTATGATTTATACCTCATTTTATCTTTCCGATACATTTAGCCATCAGTGGGTGGGAAGTTTTCAGAGCCCTGCTCAAATGTCATCTTATCCAAGAGATTGGCCATCCTATCCCCAAGAGAATATGCCTTAGTACCTAGAAAAGCCCTGGCATATATTAGGTGTCCAGTAAATATTTGTTGAATGAATGAATGACAAATTCTTTCACTCAGATGCGCCCAGACCCGGTTGTGCTGATGCCCACAATATTCATCGACTACCCTCCGAGGTAGATACAGTGGGCACAGTATGGGAGGGATAAAGGGAATAGTACCCCAGGCTGCTGCCCTGGAGGACTTGAATGTGTAATTTGGGAGGAAAAAAAAAATGTACGTGTTATAGAAGTTAGTGAACTCGTAACAGAAACAGAGCAACAAGGAGGCAAATGGGGCCGTCCATCTGCAAGTGATTTCATTCATCCATCAAATGTCCTGAGTGCTGACTGAGGCTGGCTGCTCAGCTGAGTGCTGGGGCATGATGAATCCTGAGGTCCACCCTGCCCTCCCCGAGCCTTGAGTCTGGTGGGGTGAAGGGAGAGTGAGAAGAACGCCCAGAGACAGGGAAAATTTAGATCTCAGGCTTTATAAGAAACTTATTTAATATTCTTTAATTACCTTAAAATCAATGTAGAAATTTGACTAAGAATTGAGTATTGAAAAATCTATTTTAAGTTCACGTAATTGATTTTGTGGGATCAACTTTTAGAGCTGGGCAGAGCTTGGAGATCCTCTAGCCCACCCCACCCCCTCATTTATTATCAAATGTGGAAAGTGAGGCTCAGATCAGCCAATGAATAGTTTTCCATATAAGAAAGAGGACCCACATCCCTAGGATGACAAAATCACAACCTCTATACGGTCATATATAGTGGAGAAAGCATACAATATGATAGCGGCTTTGTGGTCATGGAATTTTACTTTTTAAATTTTATACATTATTAAAGCAGGATGTGAGATTTGTGTGTTTATCAAAATGAGAGTGTATGCCTGACCCAGTCCTCTGCCAAAGTAACACTGTTGTGAAAGATAATGAAAGAGAGAGAAACTGCCCAGATCAGAGGAAGCCATGGAGACCTAGTGACTGTATGTGCCATGATAAATGACTCATGGTTATGTAAGATGTTAACAACAGAGGGACCTAGGGGAAGAGCACACAGAATTTTCTGTACCATCTTTGCAAATCTTCACAATTATTTGAAAATAAAAAGCAATTTTTAAGAAGGAGAGCATGGTGTGGTAGATTGTATTTTCTAAAAGTGGATGCCACACGGTCTTCCAAAGTTTGCCACCTCCACATCAAGAGGTAGAATCTATGTTCTCTCCTTTGAGGGGGCGCAGGTTACTTACCTTCTCTGTGCTTCTGCTGCCTCTGTAAAACGGGAAAACAGTGCTAGAATTGTTTTTACTATGAAATGGGAATACACATGTAAAGCATGTAGACAGAGCTTGGAAACGTTGGATGTCATTATTGTGGGGCACAAGTTAGGAACCCAGTTATCAGAGCTGGACTGGCAACCAAAGTAACTTAATACAGAATCCTGGGAATTCCTTAAGCTCCTCCTGTTTCAGGGGAGAATCCTTGCCGAGGGTGGAGATGCCAAGTTTGCAGGTGGGCTCTGGGAGAGACGGGATGGAGAAGATAAATGCAGAGACCAGGGATGGACGATGATGTGTAGTGCATTCGCTCGGGGAAGGAGGAAACTTCCATAGTCTGTGTCGATCAGGGGTGGTGTCAGGAGGGGGTTAGCTGTAGCTGTACCTTGAAGGCTGGCTCAGGTGCAAACGAGCAGAAAGGCAGGGAAGGGTAGCAGAGGTGGAACCAGGGCCTCACCAGGGGCCTGCCTGGGCGCACTTTTAATGTTATTTGTTATTTGCCTTTAGCTATCCTTCTTTCTCGATTTTTACCAATGTGAAATGGTGGAAAAGAATCTGTACATTTCATCATTTTAAGGATAGTAGACTCTAGCCATGAACTCAAAGGTTCCTGCTGGCCTACAAGTACTCGTCAGCTAAGCCCTCTCCCTCCAATGTCACATGTCCATCAAATGGCACAAATTGGAGCTTATACCCAAGACTGGTCACTTAAGACAGACACATCCATGTGCTGATGGTGATTGGTCCAGAGGTGGCCCTGGGACACCAGCAGGACCAATCAGTCACCTCTCCTGGGATCATAAGCTCTCTGGGAGAGACAGGGAACCCTTGTGGTGGTTTTAAGTCATGGCCACAAATTCTGTGATACTCCTGCCTTAGAATTGTAGCCCATGACTTTCCCCTTGAATTTGGGCAGGATCATAACTGCTTTGAGCACAGAATATGATGTAAGTAACACCAGTTGACATGTGGCTTCTGTCTTGTTTGTTGAAACACTTGCTCTTACAGCCTTGAACCACCAGACAGTAGAATAGAGGAGAGGAGAGGAAGGAGGGAAGGGGAGGGGAGGGGAGGAGAGGGGAGGGAATATGAGCCCTTAGTCATTTGAGTCATCCCACCCCTTGTGCTAGACATGGAGTGAAAAAGCACTTAGATGATACCAGCTCCCAGCCATTTGAGTCTCACCAGCTGTTATGGATTGAATGTTATACCCCCAAATTCATATGTTGAAACCCTAATCCCTAATGTGATGGTATTTGGAGATGGGGGCTTTGGGAGGTCATTAGTGTCAGATGAGGTCATGAAGGTGGTGGCCTCATGATGGGACTAGTGCCCTCACAAGAAGAGACACCAGAGAGCTGTTGCAAGCACGTGCTAAGAAAAGACCTTCTGATCACATAGAAGGCAGCTGTCTGCAAGCCAGGAAGAAACCTGCACCAGAACCTGACTGTGCCGGTACCCTGATTTTGGACTTGCAGCCTCCAGACTGTAGGAAAATAAATTTCTGTTGTTTAAGTTACCCAATCTATGGTATTTTGTTATGGTAATCCAAGCACACTAAGATACCAGCTGAGACCCCAGACATAGTGGAGCAGAGAACAGCCAACCCTGCCATGCCCTGTCTGAATCCTTGGTGCATAGACTCCATAAGCATAAGAAACAGTTGTTTTATACCACTAAGCTTTGGAGTGACTTTTTAATATAGCAATATCTATTAACTGGATGATGGTTCCTATTAACTGGAACATTGTCCTTCCAGAGCCTTGAGCTGGGGACTGTGGAAGCTTTGAGTTGCCAACGGCCATATCAACTAAATAAGGGACAGAGAGAAGGAGCTGGCCTGAGAAATAAGCTGGCACAGAGCTGGCAATGAAGAGGAGGAAAGGTCCAGCCCTCCTTGATGATACCACTGAAACCCCTGGATCAAGCTGTGTCAATCTCCTCTTGAACTTTTCAGTTATATGAGCCAATATATATATTTTTAAGTCTTAAGCCAGTTTGATTTGGTTTATATTCCCTCCAGTTATAACTGGAATAGAGATTAAGAGGATAAAAAAGGGAATTCCCAGGCAGTCCAGTGGTTAGGAATTCACACTTTCACTGCCATGGCCTGGCTTCAGTTCATTGTCAGGGAACTAAGATCCTGCAACTTGCATGTGGGGCAGCCAAAAAAAAAGGAATGAAAAGGAAGACAAGAGAAATGGAGGAAGGCGGGAGGGGGTCAGGTGGGAAGGGGGACAAGACCAGACCTGTTCTGTTTTCCATTTAAATGTAAGTGGTATCTGTAGCAGACACTGTAGGTTGCCCATTTACCATCCATTCCCCACCTTCCACCTTATTAACAGAACCAATCCAGGTTGTCCAATGTTCCTTACCACTGATTGGCTCAGGAGTGGGCATGTGATGAAGTTCCTCCAATGAGATGTGAGGGGAGGTCTCTGGGAGGAGCCTTTGGGAAAGGCTTCCTTCTCTTCAGGAGGCGAGACAGGCCCTCTTGCTGTCTCACCGCAGGAGTTGGGAAGTTCACCTGGAGGGGCCACAGCTACCTTGCAGAGAAGGAACCTGGGTCTTAGATGACATTGAGCTGCTGATTGTACCTTGCCTCAGGCGCACTGTCTTCTGCCTTTTGTGTGAAATAACAAATGACAATCCGGTTTGAACTGCGGTTTTCTGCTACTTGCAGCCCTGATATTGCAGAGCCTGAGGAAGGCCGACTCACCACCATCTTATTTTACTGAGGAAGGAACCAAGGCCTAGAGGGACATCTGTGTGTCCAGGTGTCAAAACTAACTGATGGCAGTGAGAGACAAGAGCCTCACCTCCCTTCTAACCTAGGCCTCATCCCATGGTAAGACAGGTTCTAGAATCTTCCATGTTGCCTTGCCCCCCCCCCCCAGCCCTGAGCCTTCTGTAGTCAGCTGTGTATGCAGAAGCTCATCTGATTTGAATCCAGCAGGCTATATTCCACCTAATTAAGCAATTAAGAGCAGGAAGGCTACATCTCCAGAGCCTACCTGCTTTTCATGATGAGCCTTTATAAGCCCTGACTGGTTGTTGTGATGGATACCAGGGGCCGTGGAGACCTCTGGAAGCCGAGTCTTGCTGGGCTGGCCTGGGGGCTGTGGCCCTGACTTTTTATGGAATCTAAAGTCTGCCTTTGGAATAATTACCTTCATGTGATTGTGGGATTAATGTCACCTGGGCCAGAGGTCTGCTGTTTTCTGCTTAAGGGAGGAAAAACAAAACCCTTTGGAGAGGCTCAATGACTGTGAACTTGGAAATCGCCCTAAGAATTAGTGAGCCAGTGTGGTGAGGCCAGAGCACAGCCAGCAGCGTGCTGAACAAGTATGCTCGTGGGTGAGGTAGAGAGGAGCCTCATAGAAAGTGTGTTGATCTTCCTGCTTTCCTCACACACAGGCACAAGGGTGTGCAAATTCACTGAGAAGCAGGCAGCGGTGGGCTTCTGATATGACACCCTCTGTCCTGGGCGCCCGCTATCAGGAAAAATTCAAGCCAGAAGGTTCAGGAAGAAGATAGCTTGGGAAAAGCCGGGTCCAAATAGAAGCCACCTTCATGTTGGACACCTCAGCCATTGCTCTCATTACTCAAGGGCCCGCCCTGCAGCTCAGATTCACAGGCAGTAATATTTCAACACCAAGGCAAACATCCTTCTCTCAGAAGAACTCCCTCAAAGAGACTGATGCTACAGGTAGAGGTGCCGTCTGCCACACGTCTGCCACTCAGCCAGACAGAGAGCTGCTGATAAGTGGGTGGGAGGCACCCCCAGCCGATGTTCTAGAACAGCATTTTCCCTCAAGTTCAGTGTGGGGCGGGGCGGGGGCGGATGATGTCCTCAGGCAGGTGCTCTGTGGCTGGTCTTGGGGGTTGTGTGTCTTTGTGGCCCCGGGTCCTGTTACCCTGAGTGGCTCTGTGGGACGAGTGGTGAGTGTTGGGGGTGGGGGAGGCAGAGTGTAAGTTGTCCTGCGCAAGCGGGTTGTGTGTGTGTGTGTGCGCGCGCGTTCGCTCGCTTACACAGGGACCTATAGGGATTTGGGTATCCCCAGATATGGGAAATGCCTGGTGCTTTGCAGGCAGAGCTCTAGACCAGGAATGTAGTCATGTTAATAAAAATAGAACGTGAGTTAGATATTAACTTTCAATTTTCTAGTAGCTACATTAGAAAAAAAGAAAAGAAAATCTATTTCCAAAATATATTTTATTTAACCCAGCATATCCAAAATTATCATTTCAACATACATTCAATATAAAAATATATAAATGGGATATCTTACGGTATTTTTTCTCTTATGAAGTCTTCAAAATCTGGTGTGTATTTTACACTTACAGCAATATCTCAGTTTGGACCAGCCCCACGTCAAGTGTTCAATAGTCACGTGTGGCTCATGGCTGCTGCCCTGGACAGTGTGGGTCTGGAGACTTGAATCTGAATCCCTGCTTGGTTTCTTTCTAGCTCTGTGGCCCTGAGAAAATTATTTATGTGTTCTGAGCCGCTATGTAGCCATCTGTGTAATGCCATTGATAGTCCATCTCATGGCAGTCATTCACGTAGCGTCCTATGTGTTGCTGGGTATCTAGGGTCCAAATCAGTGCTGCGGGGCTGGCTTGTACAGTGGTGTGCCAGAGCTGGACCATACATGCTCACAAGAGCCAATGGTTAAATATTCAGGCATTTTGTAAACTGATGGTAAACTATTGGTCTCTTGAAATCAGCCATGGTGGGAGAATGTTTACACCACGGAAATGAGCAAATGCTTACAAATTGGTCCCTGCCGCTCCAGAGAGCTGGTTGTTAAACATTTACTTGCGCGCCATGGACTTGGGTATATTTATATGTGATTGCAGGGGTGAGTGCGGTCTGGGGGCTGCTTCCTTGGCTGTTTTTTCTTGCTGAGGCCTCATCATCTCCCTTTAGGTGCTCCTGTCTTGTGGCAGCCCTTTCCAGATTACTCTTTCCCACTATGAGAGGCAGCACTGAGGAGTGGTTAAGCCAGCAGAATCTGGAGCAGACCCTGGATCCTCCATTTACTCATTTTGTAACTGTGGACAGGTTAACTTCTCTGTGCCTTAGTTTTCCTCATCCGTAAAAATAATAGCAGCTGAGAAATGGGGTTAAATACCATCCCCGTAGGGCTTCCCTGGTGGCGCAGTGGTTGAGAGTCCGCCTGCCGATGCAGGGGACACGGGTTTGTGCCCCGGTCCGGGAGGATCCCACATGCCGTGGAGCGGCTGGGCCCGTGAGCCATGGCCGCTGAGCCTGCGTGCCCGGAGCCTGTGCTCCGCAACGGAAGAGGCCGCCGCGGCAGTGAGAGGCCCGCGTACAAAAAAAAAAAAAAAAAAAGAAAAAAAAACCCATCCCCGTAAAGTGATAGAACAGTGCCTGGCATACAGTATGTGCTCATGAATGTTGCCTGTTCTATGTTGATGATTCGCAGCTGATGTCTGCAGCGCCTCCTGGCCTGCAGGCTCTAACTGTCGGTCACTGTGGAACAGTCGTGAAGGGGCAGTGTTTATGGCAGGGGCATCCAGAGGCCGAGCTGGTGTGATGGTGGGGTAGGTAACACCACAGTCAGGTTGGACCTGGGGTTGTCTTTCCTTCCATTTTCCTTTCATCTTCTCTTTCTCATCCTGTCATGAGAATTGACCGCCTACTGTGTGTGAATTCTGTGGGGAGGGGATGGGCACACAAAACTGAGAAAGCTGATCCCTGCCCTCAAGGAGCTTACAAAAGCTCTTTGGGGTCTGCACTAATTTTTAAGAGTATAAAGGGGTTCTGAGATGGAAAAGTTTGAGAACTGCTGGACTGCGGGTATAACGAAAAGACTACTAAATGTGGGGGCCAGAGGGGTTGGCAGGTTTGAGCTCTAGCACATATTACTGTGTTTCTAATCCCTTGACTTCTTCTGGCCTCAGTTTCTTCCTCTGTAAAATGGGAGTGGTAATGTGGATGGATACCCCAGCCACCTCCAGGGCACTGTGAAAGTGCATTTAAAGACTCTGAAGGCCTGGGGGTGGGGAGGGGTTGCTGTAGGCACAAGCTGGGCCCTTGGGGACTATGTTCTAAAGCTGACATTTTACTATCTGGGGGATCTGGCTTACCCCCCTGAAGTGAAGAGAAGCCCAGAGAGTACCCAACAGGCTATCCCAAGCCCTGTCATCTGGCTTTCTGGAATACCAGGGATTCTCTGGGGTAATTCCCACATCAATGCATGAAAAGCAAAACCGACACATTTAGGTGACTTTGGAAGCATTGCTGGAAAATGCAGGCAGGGAGTTCCCTGGTGGCCTAGTGGTTAGGATTCTGGGCTTTCACTGCCTTGGCCCAGGTTTAATCCCTGTTGGGGACCTGAGATCCAGCGAGCCAAGTGGCATGGCAAAAAAAAAGAGGCAGGGAAGGGATTTGGAGCTTGAAATTTCCAGATTTCTACCACCCTTCTTTGACTGGAATTGACAGCCTCAAGTGTGTTACCTACCAGGACCAGTATCAAATGGAGGGCTGTTAAGACTCCAGAATAGCCCAAAGGGGACATTGCCCCACCCTACCCTGCTCCTGACCTTCTTCCATCAACCCTGGCTTCCTCCAGGATCCAGTGCTTTTTTCCTCCCCAAAAGATGCTGTCATGATTGTTCCTACCCATAAGAACCCCTAGGTTGTCTCCCACCAGAACCCCTATCTCCTACCTCATTCCCCCAGAGACCCCAGCCCTAACCTTGGCCAATGACTAGGTGGAATGAGGAGACTCCATAAGAGCTGAAGAGCTTTTCCCAAAGAAGAGCTTCAAAGGTTCCTGGGATGTTTAAATATGCCAATATTAATAGAGATGTTTTAAGTAGAAGAAAATGCCAAAATTGCAGCTGGTCAAAATGCTAAAAAACACTCCGTGTCAAACTCAGCAACCAGCAGGGTAGAGAGGACAGGTTCTCCTTAGCATCACTCTGGCCAATTAACTCCAGTGCCTCTATTCCCCTCACAGAGGAGGAAGCCTTCCCAGCACCTCTCCCTTGCCCCTGCCTGTTAAGGAAGACAATTAGCATCTGAGCAGAGGTCTCCAAATGACATCCTGTCAGTTTTCTGTCTAGTTCAATACTATTTCCAACAGTGACTTTCAAAACAGAAATGATTTTTTTGTCATTTACTTACAATTTTTAATTTATTTATTTATTTTTTTTTGCGGTATGCGGGCCTCTCACTGTTGTGGCCTCTCCCATTGCGGAGCACGGGCTCCAGACGCGCAGGCCCAGCGGCCATGGCTCACGGGCCCAGCCGCTCCGCGGCACGTGGGACCCTCCCGGACCGGGGCACGAACCTGTGTCCCCTGCATCTGCAGGCAGACTCTCAACCACTGCGCCACCAGGGAAGCCCTACAATTTTTAATATTTTAAATCTGTTTTACATAGTTGTGTGATTATATTCTAAAAACAATTTAATAGGCTGTTTAACATTTTAATATAATAAACACATTTTTTTTGGTTTTATTAAGCACTTCTTCTTTTTGTTTTTTTTCTTTTCCAAAATGGAAATGGTTTTTTAAGTGTACAAAAGTAATGCATCATTTAAGAAAAAGTTTAGGGGAATTCCCTGGCTGTCCAGTGGTTAGGACTCAGCGCTTTCGCTGCTGTGGTCCAGGTTCAGTCCCTGGTTGGGGAATTAAGATCCGGCAAGCCGTGCCACGCGGCCAAAAAAAAGAAAAAAGAAAAAGTTTAAAATAGGGAAAATAAAAAAACCACTCATAATCCCTTCCCCCCAACTCTAACACAAGCAATACCATCATATTGGTGCTTTTTCCTTGCAGTCTCTGTCCCTATAAATACATTTTATTTGAACGTTGT